CCAGTTAACCAGCTACAGGTATCTTTAATTTTAGTTACAGATTTCTGAATTAAGGTAACATGGTCTGTCTCAGAGTTCCTTTATTTATCATATAAGAGCATATAACAAAAATCATGCATTAATATCTCAGTTCATCAAGGTATTTCAGTACAAACTTGACCTTCCATTCAATCTGAGTCATTAATAAGGAAGCATAATTATAGACAGTTCAGATCCATGCAATACAGTATAATAAATCTCAGCCACAGGCATGCAGATCACATGGAATTAAATTTGCATCCATGGCCATGGCTAAAGTAAAGAATTAATTTTATTTGGTTTAGTTATCAACCAAGTGAAAACACAAGCTGCATCACATGATACTCTTGAATTTGACTGCCTCTTTCCTGTCCAGTGCAAAATCTATATGCCTTAACCAGGGAAAGATTGTTTTCTATTGATTTGTGCTTAGTTGAGATACTTGTATGCCTAAAAGCATGAAAGCTTCAAATGAATTTTGCCTATAATTGAAGCATTCCTAGCATCTATTTCCTGATTTGATTGCCACACATTTCATAAGGATGGATTTTCAGACTCTCTCACAGGGTACTTCCAGCAGATAAAGAAAAACTTTTTAAATCTAGACATTCCAATGTCAATAGTCATTGATGGTCTGGTTTGAAAAGCATAAAAAACAGGGGAAAGCCATGAAAAGCATACATTTTGCACTGGAGATGAGATCGTATGTACAGACAATAATTATCCATCTTTGGTTTTCTGCACAAGCAAAGCCTGTTAATACCTGGATTCCAACAAAAAAATAAAAAAGAAGAAAACCAGATCAAATAATGTTTTGCATCCCAAAGAACCTGGACTTATCACATGAGCTTCCCTCTTTCCCACAGAGAATCTTTCCAATGACACCGTGATGAATTTTTCCATATTGCCACTAGCAGTCATTTACCATTAGCTTATATTGATCTGTTTTCCATTCTCCCACAGTTTAATAATTTGTGCTTTCAATGAGTTGTTTTACAGCTAGTTTAGGCAAATTTCAGGCAGGCTTATGATTAGGGCATAGATATAGTTGAAGACTTAGACATGAATTTAAAGCAAGGATAACTGCAGAATGTTAAAGTGAATTTTCTTTCAGGTGGAGTCTGCCAATCAGATGTGCTATGCCTCACTTGATCACAGTGTCAAGAGAAAATGCAGAAAACCAAGGAGAAAGAAAGACCCTTCATTAGAGGAAGATGAAGAAGAAAGATCATCTAACCCCATGGTGGCTTCCAAAGTTAGCATTTACCTCAATAGTGAGCAGCTGGCTGCTGAAAACACAGCAAAAGTAGAAGCCATTCATGATGATCCCATCAGATTAATGGGCTTGATTCATAATGCAAAAGGAGAGAACTGAATATGTAATGAACCAAATATGTAACCACAAAGTGAGATTTGCTTTTTCATTCTGGAGGAACAATGAATGACCAGAGAAAGTATCCTGGAAAGCTGACATGCTAAACAGTGGTATGAAATGGGTAAGTTAAGTGTTCCAAACTGGCTACCTAACATATTTATAGGCTAAGCAAGACAGGTCCAGACTGCCACTCAGATGGATCTGCTCTTCTGAAGACAATTTGAAAGAGCTGCAGAAGTCACAGGTAGCTCAGCAGTGACAGGGTAGTGATTCCAGTCAGAACTGATCCTGTTTTAAACAATCATCAGCTTTCAAGCAGACCCAAAAGACCCCCTTGTTGTCTATACAGCTCTAGCAGAGTACAGCTATTCCATACTAACTTCAATACTTTGAAATGAGATTGTTTCGTGCTTGCACACTTGGTGATTAGTTGTTTTACCAATTAAGAACTGAGCTGCTGTTCCACACTGTGAACTTTCTGACTGTGACTGGTCTATGGCAATGACTGGAGAATAATTTAACAGCTGATTTAAGGTAGTAATTGTACATCTCACAGGACTTAGCAGGATCTTTGTGTATCTTTAGTTTCCTCTAACAATACTAGAATGCATCTCAAATCTCAATTCCTCTACTGTTGTATACAGCTGTATTAAAGGGTCCACAAAGATATTATCACACCATCTGTAACAATAAATCTAGGAAGGATTTCTTCCTTCTAATACTCCGTGTTATGTTTATATTCCTATTTGGTTTTCCATTGCCATTCTTAACTATTTTACAAAAAAAACCCAAAAAAAACCAAAAAACCAAAAACTTTTTATTTCCCCAAACCCTTCACTTACTGTGTGCACATTCATTTGAAGAAACTCTTTAAATTTTAAGTTTTATAGAGTGGGTATCTATTTTTATATGCTGGGAATCATTAAGTGGTTGCAGCAGGAAACAAAGCAAGTTGATATAATGTGTCTGCCTCTGGGTGTCAGACTCACCTGCCTTTTCAAAAAACCAGGATATTGGAGACTTTAAAATCCACAGAGCAGTGCCAAGGAGCCTGAAACTCTGAAGCACAGAGAGCCAACACCTTCTAACAGTAGAAATGGATGGACACATCAAGGGATGAGACAAAATTATGGAAAAAAAAAAAATGGTTAAATTCAACTTGTCACTTCAATCTGGTAGCTAATTAAATGGAAATGAGGTACCCACTTCTCTCAATGAGTGTACATGTAACAGTAAGCTCACTTCATGGGATTGAAGTACATTTAGTTTCCTTTCTATTCTCAGTCTTCATTGTTCAGTCCAGCTATGTTTATGCTAATTTTCATCAGCTGCTTTCCCTTGCAACATAGTTTGCTCAAAGAGCAGGGCATTTTTGTAAATGTTCTCTCTCTATATATATATATCTGTACACATTTCCTTTTAATATTTAATCAATGCCTCCAATAAATTGATTGTGGCTCTCAGGATGATCTTTAATAGCCTATCAACTATTTCCAATTCATTTGTAATACTGCCACATTCAAATTTAGCTTTATTCTTTTGACTATTCTTTATTCTTTTTTACCCTCCATCTGCTTAAATAAGCAAACAACCTAATTTTTAACGAGTTTTGGGGTGTTTTCAAGTGACTACTGAATCCTTACGTAAAAAAGCATGTTCAATATTGTTCCATCTTCAAGACATTAAAGAGCTACATAAACTATCATATACTAATTAAATTCTTTACATATAAAGCAAGTTTCAACTAATTATAAGAGGCTAGATTCTAGATTGACACTTAGTAACGTCATGTTTTTCCACTGTTCCTTAAAAAAATTTTTATAGGAAAATGAAGCAGTGTAAAGCTTTTTCTTATTAACAGTAAGCTTAGCATTCAAGTACCAATTCAACAGAACAGTAAAGAAAGAATGAGTAAAAAAGAGGAAGTATGGTGGGAAAAGGCAAATCTTTGGAAGGGTAGAAGAATGGAACTCAAAACATGAGAGGTCAGGTAACACCATTGACATCTTTGTAAGATGAGGCAGATGTATTCCATCAGTAATTACAGCATTTGATAACCACTGCAGATGTACCTGGCTAGACAGTATTAGGAAAAACAACAGACTTTTGCTTGTATCATAATTTTAAGAGTCTGCTGGCTTCCACGGCATAGGAGAATCAACACTAAAAATAGAAACTCTTTCTCCCTTTTTTGCTACTGCTAGCACCCAAAACATGGCATTTATATGATCTTATCTTCCAACACTTAAAGGTTTTCCAAGAATGACCTCTAAATTATTTCAAAGTAATCTTCATGAAGACAGTTTTGCTATGTTGAATAAACCAACTTACCTTCCTTACCTGTCTGAGTTGCACTGAAGCTGCTGTGTAGAAGTCATACCTAGATTCAGAACAGGTCCAAAACCCAATTCCAATTGACTTCTAAATTACTTTAGAAAAGAATGAATTATGTAATCTCTCAGTACTAGTGTATCAATACTGGGAAATAATGACCTCAACAAATCTAAGAGGAAGACAGTTCATAACATATATTCCCTACAGTGCATCCATGTCAGGAAAAGGAAGAAAAAAGAGCCCCAAAAGCATTTCTAAAAGACACTATTTTGCTACTGTCACGGAAAGACACATAATATCCAAATTACAAAGGATGGAATGTGTGTGCAGAAGCTCTTATTGCAGAGAAAACCTCACCAAAGCTGGCTTCTTGTCCTATTCCAGAACAATACTTAAGATAACAAGATTTTGGTTTTGAGAGCTAAAATAAAACCCTCCTGTGTGTCTGGAAATAAAGCCAAAGAAAGCCAATTTCTTCCTTTTCTGAAGCTTAGAAAGCTAATGAGGGACAGTGCTGATAAAACAGCAAATACCTGCTCTGACAGCACTAACACAATCAATCCCCTTGACAAGAAAGGCCACAGCAGGGAAAACCTGTGGGACCCTCCCACCACATTCCCATGGATTTGCTCATTCAGGTTTACAAACTCCTCCTGAGAATTCACACAGGTGAAATAAAATGTTGAAGGCAGGTATTTGTTCAGAACAGTTTTTTTATTTAGGACATAGACTGTGTCAGGTACAATTTTGTCAAAACACAGAATGCAATTATCAAATCTAATAAAAACCATAAAATCTTATTGAACAATCAACTCTGGAAGATTTTAACATTAACATTGCATAGCAGAGTCAAGTCATAGGAAATAGCAGTTATTTTTGGGTCTGCAGTGATATATACGAAAAACATGAATAAGCAGCAATTTAGGTAAATGAGCTTGTTCCTTATTATTACCACAGTTAGAATCAAAGCTTATCAGCAAATAAGAATACAGATCACATTCTGTTATTACAAATACTGTCAAATATAAAATTCCAACTTAGCCATTAATTGAGGAAGAAGAGTGCTGTTAAAGGGATGAAACCTTTCCCAAAGATTTGAACTACAAGAAAGTATAAATCAGAACTAGTTGCGTATTGCTTATATAGAACCATACATCCCTGGTTCTCAGAAGAAACAACACTGAATAAAACACAACCTATATAAAACATTTTCCACTGTAACAGTGCATTAATGCTTTTTGGTGAGCTTTAACCAGAGTCATCCAAGGGATTATCACGATTGGTCTTTTCCATCACTGTAGCTTAGTTTTCTGTACACCCTAGGGAAAAAAATCCAAAACCTCTGTTTAGATGATGGAGTAAATTACACAAATTTGCTGAAACTTCAATGAACAGGATGAAATTGAAATAAATTGTCAAAGCAAGGTATCTGAACATCTTGACTGTGAACAGCAGCAGGGCTCCTTGTCTGCTTTCCTATGTGCTTTCAGATGGAGAGGAAGCTTTTCATGCTATGTCATTTTAATGCCTCAGTAGTGCTACTAGATCAATCCAAGTTATGTATATCCATTAAACTTTGAGATGCAATCTTGGAGTGCATTCACAACTAGTTAAAAGGTAAAGACAAGTGAGAACCCCTTGCATATTACTTAAGAAATTGCATAAATTTTCTCTCCTATTTTAAACTAATTTGGTTTACACGTGACAATTAAATATAACAGTAAAACTGTAGGACAGCATTCACACAGAGCTGAAGAAGAGTTCCTTAGATATGAACATTTCCTTTTTAGAAATCTCTTTCATAATCATCTTCTAGATAAGTCAATCTGGTTGGTTCCAGTTAGAAAGACATTATTCCTTTTCACAACCATTCATTACAAAATAGAGCATTTTTCCACGTGGCTTTGGCATTAAACATCTGAGGGATCTGAAGCCATTAAAAAGCTTCACTGCTGGGAACCATAGAAAGCTAAAAATATCACACCACAGGGCCTCAGGAAGCTTTCCAGCTGACAGTCCATTTTGGCTACAAATCAGCAAACATGTATTTGTGTAAATAAAGAAGAAAGAAATAGATTTCATTCCAGATGACTTGGAAGAAAACTCTGAAATCTTGACTTCTTATATGGATTAAAGAGAGAAAAACCATTTCCTTTAAAAAACAATAACAATGGCTGTTTTGTATGGGGAGACAGGATGACACAGTAAGGAAAAAAAAGGAAATCCAAGACCTGAGAAGAACTTTGCTCAGCTAAGTGGGCATACTCAAATCACAGAAACATCCTGCATACTCATCAGTTTGTCTCCAATTTTCCATTATATAAGAAATAATCCAAATATAATATTTATCAATATTTTATGTATTTGTAATGCAAGCCTCTAAATTTCAACTCCATCTTTGCTTAAACTGAAACTATTTCTTTACATCATTAAACTTCTTTTCTAGTTAAATTCTCCATACAAATAGTTTAGAAAATGCTTTCAGCCTTCCTTTGAATTTCTAATTCAAATATTGTCAGTTAATGTTGATATTACCCATATGATGAGCTCAATCATAGTGAAAATATTTCTTGAATGAGCTTAGGAAGCCAACAGTGTCTGGTGACAAATTACACTTACGGCAAAAAAGCACATCAAAAAAGTTTTGGTAAATAAAATTAGGATTTTTTTTAGAGAGCTTTTAAAGATTTTTAAATCCTTAGAATATTAAATGTTTGTAATTAACAATCCAAGAGATCTGAGGCTTGATAATCCCTTATAAATTACCTATTTTTTATGAAAACCAGACATTTGAAGCCAGTATTCAGGGAACAGAGACAAGTGTCCTGCTTCCAGAGATCTGAATACACAGCCAGTAGTGACAACAGCAGGAGGAGAGGATCCCTGACATGCTCCAAACAGAGGCACTGCTTGCTCACACAGAGCCAAAATGCAGGTAGTGATGTAGTGATGCCCAGCTGCACAGAGGCCAACTTCTGCAAGTCCTTTTAAATGGCTGCTTAAACACAGAGCCACACAGAGGCACGATCAAAACAATTCCATAACATAACTAAAATAATAGCTGCCTTTATCATGAACACCAGATAAGGATTACAGTAGGTATTCAGTCAGGTCATCTCACTGTCTTGTGCTCAGCAGCTCTCCTTGCTGGAGCACAGACACTTGCCTCTCAGTGTTCAAGTCTGCAGGTGTGACTAGCCAGGGCTCTCCCACACCCATTTCCATTTGACAAATATGCACGTCACCTCCGTATCGTTATTAAGAGGAGTAAGAATTCATTTTGAAATCTCTTTAAAAAAGAGATTATTATTACCTTGGTTGACACTTCCTCACATTTCTGAAAGAGCAGCAGTTCTCCATTGCCGAAGGCCAACCAGAGTGTGCACCTCCAGTCCCAGATTCTGGTGATTAGAAACAGTGAATGAAAAGGGCAAGAACAATGTTGAGTAGCATGAACATTACAGAATATGGTTTATGTACCAGCATATTTAAACATTGGAAACACTTCAATGGGCAAATTTCCTTAGGAAAATACTCTTGCATGAATTAATAACGTGTCTGAAACGAACCTTTCAGGGAAGTGCCAGGAATACCAAGAAAACTTTCATCTGAAGAATCATGAGATCTAGAACCCTGAAAATAAAGCAGCAACATATAACATTCATTAAAAATATTCACAGCTTACCTCAGAAGAAATGACCGAACTTGGAAATAAGTGTCTCATTTAAATCAACAAGTTTAATGATTCCTGTGAAACCCTATAAAGATTAATTTGTTTGTTTCATCTTGTCCATCTATAAAATTAATCATTTCAGGACAACACCATAACCAAGTCACTATTTGAGACCACTTCTTCCAGTGATATTTCCTATTAAAATGGAGTAAAAACTTTCATTTAGAACCATTTCAAATTTATTAAGTATAGGGAGCTTCATCACAGGGATCCAGGAGACCTGATATCCCCAAGTCCCCAGAGCTGTAAAAGCTGACTGACTGAGAAGCACCAGAAGTATGCTATCCCTACTTAAAACAGCTTGCAGCTCTAATCCATTATTAAGCCCTTTTCCAAATATCTAAAGGTGCACAATTTTTTTTCCTCCAAGGTCCTTAAATACCTGACAATGACAGTTGTGATCAGCAAAAGAGCTGGGGTTGCTACAGTTGCATTTGCTCAAGAAATCCATGCCGCCTGTCTGAAGATTACCCTTTTCACTGTGGAAAATATCCTGACATTTCCTTGAAGAAAAACTATGTTCTGGTGTTAGTTTCAGTCGCTTTACTGGTGAACAAGGAAGATAGTTTAGAAAATTTGATCTTTTAATTCTGGAAATTGCAGGATAAGCTCGGACAGGAGAATTAACAAGCGCATTTACAGTTTCAGGTATCTGCATTTCTTCATATTTCTTGAAATTTAAAGCTGCCTGAAGCCCAGATTTTGGAACAGACTCCCCACACAGTTTCTCAAAGAGTCTGTCGAATTCTATATCACACTGTTTAGCAGACCTCCCAGAATCACTTAGATTACTCTTCACTAATGTTCCTTTCTCTTCAAGGTTCTGCAAGTTTAAAAGTGGTCTTGTCAATGTCAAAGGTTTTTGGAATTCTTCAGAACGCACTTTGTAGTAGAGTTCCTCAAATGAATCTTCATATTTATTTGGCTTCCTTGAAGGACTCTGCTTCATAAACCAGGAGGAAAATGAGTCTTTGTGCTGGAAAGAAGTTTGCCTTTCAGAACTTATTTTTTGAGGATATACAAACACAGTATTTAATGATGATCTCGCAGGAGAACAATTTGTCATAGGGATAGAATTGTTTCTAATACCAGGGGAACTACAAGCAGATGAACACAATTCTGAGGTACCAACATAAGAGTCAGTTTTCTGAGTCTTACTCTCTTTTACAAGATGAAATGCTCTTGAATCTGAACTGGCAGTAGATGTTATAAAACTAGGTTCTGATAATTGTTTGTAAGTATGTTTTTCAATTTCTCTGTATTCTGAACTCTTTGGTGTGGCAGTAGTCTGTAATTTATCTTCAACTAGAAATGTCTCTCCTAATCTATCCATAACATCAGGAAAAGTAGTGTGTTTGCAGTTTTCTAGGCTTTTTCCAGATGCCAAATGTTGTTCTAAACTTGAGTCAGAGTAGGGCATTTTGATTTCATTTGTATCAGTATAACCATAAGGCACCAGCCCAGATGAATTACTAATGGGATAACTGTCACAGCAGAATTCTCTGCTCTTCTTTCCAGAAGTTGGATTTTGGTTGTCTTCAATTCCATAGCTACACGTGCTGTGAAATGCTTCCTTTAGTTTACAGGGCTCAAACCCTCTAATTTTGTCTACAGTGACATTGAGCTTTGGTCTTCTAGAATACCTCTTTTTGAGCCGTAGGTGTCCAAACATGTACTTGAACACTATCCTCTGAGAATGCTTCTTCATGAGCTTTGTAAACATCTCTACCATTGCTGGATACAAGTCTGCAAGAGTTGTATTGCTCAAGGAGCATTCCCCATCTGCAGACTGGTATTCTCCAAGGATACTGTCATATGAAGTTGTTCTCAGTTCTGGACAAGGTTGATGCCAGGGTGAGGCTATTGTATTTGATGAAATGGGAACAACAGAATGCTGTAACTGTGGATATTTGGATGAAGAACACTCATTTGACAGCTCTAGCTTCTTTCTGCAAACAGGAGCTTGACAGCCTACTAGAAAAAAACAAAAAAACAAACACCAAACCAAAAACTACAATGAGTCAAAAACCAAAACAGAAGACAGAAAAAAATCCAAACATATTAAGGCACTTCCAATGGCATAATGTATGACTTAAAACCAACTGCATATGATTCAGATTACCTTACTGATTATTACAAAAGAAAAAATGAATACACTTCCTAACCATAAGAATTCACATATTATAGAGGAAATAAATTAAATGCACTGGAAAAAACACACTATTCAAAGTAGCATAATATACAGATATCCATTGCAGAAGATGAGTTCTTTGCCGTTTTGTGACTCCTGGTCAGAAGTAACAGCCTTACCCAAAAGGTTTTGCTCCTTTTTTTCTGAATTAATTGAAAGCTTTGTATGTGACTAATAGAAGTGCAGCTTTTGATTTCATAAACCACCATTATGAAATTAATGCTTTCTGTAGATGTTAAGCCTAAATTCTTTACACTAAAACACTTAGGCTTGCACTAAGTCTGAAAAGTTCTGAACAAAATTCACTGGCAAAATACCACTTTGAATACCAGTTGCCAGCAGACCCAAAGCCATTGTATTACTTCCCTTGAATTTAAAATAAGCAGAACTAAAAACCACTGCTCAGTCAGCTAAATGCTGCCCAATTTTGCAACAATGCATATTTGTTCCTGAGGACACATAAGAAAAGCTGGATTTAAATACGTAAATTATTTGCTTTGTTTTCCAAAGACATTTTACCATAAGCAAAATCATGTCTAAGTTTCCTTTGAAATCCAGGTGATTGAAGTTCTCAGCTAGATAAATAACACCTTTGTTTACAAGAACTGAAATCTTTTTTATAATGAATTTTAATGAAACCACTTTTTGTAACTAATATTTGACCAACAGACAAGACTAAGTTTTACCAAGCAGTTTTTGCCCGGGCGAAGTTGATTGATGACTTTTAGATGAAATTGGAGTTGTTACCTGGAAAACAAAGAAAAGAAAAACCAAACTAATGTTTGGAGTTTTGAGTGTGTTCAAAATATCATCAAAACCTTACTTGTGACTTCTTGCCTCTTGCTATTCTGGGTCATGTAGAGTCATGGTCCTTAAGGGCTCACCCAAGTTCAGACAAAGTGGAAAACATCAAGTCTAAGACTTCAGCAGGAAGTTTCAGGAGTTATTAGTTTATTCTTGGAAAGCTATTCATTATGTTTTCAACTTATACATTATGTGTCATGTATTAACCCCTATCAATTTGAGCTAGGAATTTATATTTTATAAGAATTTATCCACACATCTATAGCTACACACAGACCTGAATAATCTAGACATCTCAGGCAGCTCCAGCAGAAAAGAGAAGCTGTACCTCTATCATGACACTGCACCTCTCATCTTCCTCACCCCCCAAAACAAAACAAAGCCAATCCTTTTTTTTCCCCCCCACCAAGAAGCTCAGATGTAGACTTTTTGGAAAACAGACAGCTCAAAGATCAACCTGCACATCAAAGATCAAAGTATAAATGTAAAACAAAAGGGAAAACAAATTTGTAAAAGATTTGCTCTGTTTCTTACATACCAGAGCTGTAAAAACACCAAGATCCTACAATATCTACACAGACAATGGGAGAACCACAGAGAAGTTGTGTTAGAACTCATTTAACTGCTACCCAGTTAAAGAGTTTTTATTTTATTCAAATTAATAACTTAGGAAAAATATGTTACCGTTATCCATTTGGGAATATTTCTCCCATCACCTTGTACTATCACATCCACTGGAACGATTTCTTTCTTAAAGATTTGCCCATCATCTGCAATCAGATTCTAGAAGGAAAATAAAATTATTAAAGCACAGAAATTATTGGCTCGGGCAACTCCAAACTGATTATTCTGATTTACTGCAAACTAGTATCCTTCAGATCAGGCTATGCAACCAGCATAAATTTATTTTTAATGTATACATCTCAGGCAACAATCCCCCGTCAAAAAAACCAAAAACCCCAAATCCCAAGAAGGAACTATATGTGAAGATATATAAAAAACAATAATTAACAAGTTTATTCAGGGAAGAGCACACACTGCCTTTAAAGATCCACTGATAAAAACAAACAAGCCAACAAACAAACCACTCAAATAAAGAAAAGAGAAAAAAAGGAAAATGGTTACAAAGCTCTGATAATTACAGCTGCAAATCTTGACATGTACTCTTACCATCCCATGACAACTCATATACAACTTAAAATCTACTCTGCAATGATCCTCAATGTGAATTCCAAGAGAATTTTGTAAGAAAAGGCAATTCATTAGTCAAAGTGTCCCTTTCTGAAGCTGATTGCATTGGCTGTTGTCAGAGGGAGGACACCAGCACTGTGTTAAACAAGTAAGGAAAGTAAATCCCAATTTTGGCAATGCTATTTGAGCAAGCAGAACACAGGATTAAAATGGCTGCACACACAAAGTGTGTTATATTTTCCCCCAGCAATGTGAATACTCTGGCTAGTCCTGACCATAGTCTAGTTTGGGAAGCAACAGCAGAAGATTCCAGGCTGCTTTTGTTATAGCAGCCATTATTTCACATTTACCATTTGCTTTAAGTCATGTTACCTATTTATGCTAGACTCTCAGGTGAATGACCATAGTTCTTCTAAGTGTTTTCACCTTGTGATCCATCTGGTTCCTATTTTTCCTTACCTATAAAGGCCTTTCTCAGAGCTGCCTGCTGATGCAGTACAGTGCAGGGCTTTCCCTGGCCCACTGGTATTAGCAAGATAATAATATCACGTGTCATTGGTCTTTGTGTCACTATTTATTGAACCCCTCACTTGTTAAAAATGTACATTAAGATGCAGACTATATCAAGTCTTCTGCTGACTGTATCAACTCATCTAGCAAATGTAAACTAGTGAAATAGTTAATTCATTAATAGTTTCTATTGAATCATTACATTCTATCAGACACCCAGAATTTTTACCTGCAGGTGAATGCCTTCAAATTTTCTTCCTACTGAGACTACGTCATCACTTTCTTCATCTGCAATTTGAAGGTAAAGATCAAATAAAATACAGGTGAACTCAAAACAGAAATGTTTCTAAGCACACACTCTGGAAGTTATTGAGTACACTATTTCCATTCTAGAAAACAGTTTTCTACACTATAACTTTTAGCTGTATTACCTTTCCATTTCAATTCCAATTGAAAAGCATGGTTTGTTGGTTCATAAATGACTTCAGTAGAGCACAGAAGAGTAAAAAAAAGTTGTTTGCAATCAGTTCTTTAGGATTTATATTAAACATTACAAAGAGGAAAACACTTTTAATGTTCTTTCTTTTGTTGCTCTCTAAGATTCATTAATCATTAATGCAGAATCCCCACTACATTCCTAAATATCCCAACAAATATAGTAAGGACTTTCTCTCACACTTCCTCTTAGTAGCTTCCTGTTGTCCAGACCACCTTAGAACTCACAAAGTGAGAAAGAGGGCACACTTGAGAATATGAAAAAACAAGTCTGAATCTTTTAACTCAGGTTGAGGCATTCTGTGGGTGCTTTTGTGAATGAAATGCAAGAAAATATTTGTTTCCTCGACGTAGCCAGACCTTCCAGTTCATCATTAGCTAAAATCAGTCATCCATGAGCATAAAATAGATGACAGCATTTTCAGCCCAGATTGCTGAATTTCCCTGAACTCACCAGAGGGAAGGAAAAAGGAGAGGAGAATAACCCTGGAACTTGTGAGTGAAAATAAACCTGGTTATGATACCTCATCACACTACTCTTTCTGCCATACAATCTCCCTCCGGTATAATTGGGCACACACCTGTCAGATTGCTTCCTAAATGTTCATCAGGATGAACAGACTGGATTGCTACAAAAATGGGCAGTTCTTGAGATAAAGGGAACTCCTGCGTCCAGGAGTGGCTGAATCCATCACAACTATTATAAACTATTTAAAAATAAGCTTATATCATAGAATGAGTTGATTTGTATACAAGTGGAAAATGCTTCTAAATGTGAATCCTTAAAAAAAACTAATTTTAGTAGATCTTCAAAGTGCTGTAATCACACTTCCAAATCACTGGACCTTCAGTAATTAGCAGAAGGCCATGGCACAGAATGGAGAAATAAAAGTATTCTCTCCAGGGAATTGGAAAGTGGTTTTAAAGACCAAAGGGCTATTCAGTAACACCTTTGCACCCCAAAGGGAGAACAGTGAGGAAAAAAACCCAAAAAACTCCCACCTTTCTCTGTCAAAAATATGTTGTTTTTTACAGAAAACTATTTCAGAGGAGGTGCATCCAAAACACTATTATTCCCTAAGTTTTAACTTACTGATTCCTTTCTCCAAATTAATTCAGTTTTCTGTGATAGCGGATACAAGTAATTGTTATATACAAGTTATTGTTGATGTACTCTGCTATGCTACTTCCTGAGAAAGCAAGAGGGTAGTCCTAATAACTTGCCCTATTAAGGACAGACTAATACTTGCACGCCCAGGTGAGAACTGTTCCACTTGACTTTTACCTGCTGTAGACAAGCTCTGCACACTTTCAACACAAAAACTGTGTATAACACCTGGAAGAAACTCTGCCTTCACTGAGAAGTGTGAAGTATACTGTACAAACAGTAAAAATGGAAATCACTTGCCCAAGATTAAAATTTTAGCTAAAACAGCTGAAGATAGATTATTTTCTTAAGTTAGTATGCCCTATTGGTAAACTTTTAAATATCAAAAAACCACCAAAACCCAACCAAGAAAATAAGCCCTGAAAAAACACACCAAAACAACCAAAAGCCAAAGCACCACACATCTTAAACACCTCAGTGCACTCCATCTTTTTGTGAGGAATCCAATCCCATCTCCCTAAGAATCTAACTCCTACATCTTACTGTATTTGGAGACAGCTGGAACTCACTGAGGTTTCTACAAATCCTCACCAGTCTCTTCACAGACCATTCGTAGGTGGAGGAGGGGGAGAAGGGGATAATCATTTTATTGTATGCTGCTATGAAAGAGCCAGAGTCTGAAGCACTGGACTCATTTATCCCACAAGTGCAAATGGCAAAGCAACTTACAGCAGCCAAGCTACAGGTGCCTCTGAAATATTTTTCCTAAGTTTCATCAAGCAGGTTGAAAAAATTGTTGTCCTTTCTAAATTGGCAAAAATTATTGTCTCATTGAAATGCTTATGTGAAATTATCCTCTCAAATGACAGTAGGAAACATTTCCCTCAACAGGGAAGTAATTGTCAGCCTTAAAGGCAGCTACTGAGATCAACAAGCTAATTTAATACCAGAGAACTTAAACCCCAAACTAACCAAATTCTACTGCAACTCCTCTTTCGGCCATTAACTACTGGCTACTGCCTAGCCATAGCTCAGTTTATGAAAAACAGTAGAAGTTTTCATTCGCTCAAGAATCAAAAATGTCGAATAATACCCATTATAAATACAAAAAAAAAAGTCAAAGTCAGTTTTCACTCATTAACAGAATCAAATAATTATTTGGGAATACAAGGTCAAAACCTTGCTAAAAATCTTCACGGCACTGAATTGTTGCAACTGACTGCAAACCTCTGTTTACCACTCCCCTAATATTCAGTGTATCTATGTTGACTCCTAATAAAACGTCTACTGACACCTAGACCAAGGTTTTTTTTTAATTGTTCCTTCCTTTATTGGGAAAGAACTGTTGAACACATTCCACGTTGACTCTCAATTATCAGGGAATCAGGACTAAAATTTCAGTGAAGAATATAAAAACTGATTTCATAAAACTACCCATACCTCAGACTCTTGCAATTCCTATTCTCTACCTTCTGAAAGGGTACAGAACATGTATGAAAACTAAGTTTACTGTATTACAAAGTGATGAAAAAGCTACTTGCATCTTTCAAAGTAAAGTGAAATAAAGGTTAGATAAGTAGTAAAAAAAAAAACCCACCTGTATTAGGTATTTCCATACCAGGGTTCTCAGAAGATTCCTTAAAAGCACATGAAAGGAATTTTAATAGCTGGTAGATTAAGCTATCTTAATTAGCCCATAGAATTTTTCTGCTTCCACTACTTCATCAATTTTTTTTGGGGGGGTGGTGGTAGTGGTGAAACAAACACAGTTGTATTCCACAAATTCTGATCAACTCACACCACCTTTATTAACAAGTCTATACACAAACTTACTTTGAGTCAAAAGAAGTTATTCTAGACTACACAGATTTTACAAAGAATACGTTTTAAAGTTACGCTCACATGTTGCCTAACTAAAAAGGTACTTGATGGTTAAAAGCCTATATCCAACTGCTGTCCCCCTCCCCCTTCAAATAAACCTAATAATTCAGTTGAAATCCAGTATAGGTATCATGATACAGGACCACCTGCTCACAAATGATTTCTTAGCTTTTGACTCCATCAACACATTTTCCCAAAGAGGCTGACAGGATGGTTGGGGTTGGAAGGGACCTTAAAGATCATCTCGTACCAACCCCTCTGTGATGGCAGATTGCTCCAAGCCTTCCCAGCCTGGCCTGGAACACTCCATCTAAACAGATGCAATGCAGCACCCATACCTGGTGTACTGTTGGGTGCACATCTTCAACACCACTGCTCTGTTCCTCTGATATTTCTTAGCATGAAAGGGAGGGAAAAAAAAAAAGCTCTATTACTTTTATAATGCTTAGCCTCTCTTGTTACTTCTGTTTTCAATTTCTTTTACTTTTCCCTCCATTTATGTCCTATCACCAGTGGCTCTAGTAATTAGTTTCTTTTTCTGATTCACTCAGGCCAATCACACTATAATGAAACACAAACCAAAGTACTCCAGCACACTTTTTATCAGTGTTGAAGAGTGCAGAAAACCTGTTTTGTGTGCTTCCTGTTCAAGGCACCTGTGCATATCTTCTAACACCGTGTGCGCTATTTTTACAGTGGAGTGTGATCTCCTTGGTTGGCTCAAACTGCTTTCAAAATTGTCTCTTCAGCATTTGATTATTCCAAAACAAGTCTATTATTTTGAACTTTTTTGCATGAAATTGAAGACATTTTGCTTTAAGTTTTAGCCCAAATTTGTCAGACAGTCTTCTCAGTGGTCAACCCTACCTGCTATTGTCTGACAGTTAATTTAAGGGTATTCCCTCTTCTATTATTTACTTAAATAAAGCATAAACCAATAAAGTGAGGAGGAGAAATCCTGAAAAAATCCCCCATGATTCCCTCAAATTTGGACACAGACCACTGATAATTATTCTAAGCACAATTTTCCTACCAGTGGCTATAAAATCACTCTCTCAAAAAATTCAACAAGCATATACCTAGAAGGCTCTGGCTTAAGGTTGTAACCTTCTCTGGAAATTAATCTTCATGCTTTTGCAAAACACTACTGTATTACTTGCTCAAAAACAGCCTTTTAGAAGCTGAATTGTGCCTTTTCCAAAGATAGCTGGATTGGGAACAGAAGAAATTAGAAGAACAAAGTTGTCTCCAGTTGAAATCACTGACTGAGCATGATCTATGAAACACCACAGAGCATACTGTGTTTCCAAAAAAATTCTCACAGAAAAAAGCCATTTTAAGCAGGTAATATATATATGATAGAAATACCACTT